TTGAAAATGAAGCTACCACAATGCAATGTAATGGGAGTGCGCACACAGCCTGGGCGCGTATTAAACGAGGTTGGTTTTACATGAACGTAATCCCTCCAGTTGGAATGTTGTTACTATAATTATCGGTTTTTGACGTCCAATCCTGCACCAAACAGCGACACTATATGATATTTATAATTTTAAAAAAGTTTCAACGCAAAAATCATCGCAAAATTCGAACAGAAGAAAGCGAAAACAAGGCTCCACAGGCGATTTTTGCAAGTAACCAACTACATCATCCCATCGAAATCCGAAATCTGTCACGTACCTTTGCAACTTTCTGGCATTTGCATCTTTCAGTTTCGCAGGTGTTCGTCAGGAAAGGTCTTCATTTCTTTCGTACGAGGAGCTGTTCTGACGTGAGTTAGAGTAAAACGATGCTTTAGTTCGCGTTTTCCTTGGGCTGGAAAACTTTTCCCGTGATGCACCCTAGTCTTCTATAATGACACAAGGGAAAGTCCCTCCAAATTTCGATAGGTCAACGAGTTACTCCAAAATGACTTCTCGCCTTATCCTTTGTCTAGCCAATTTCATCTTGCTAATGATATCCAAAAGCTTATAAAGCCATTGACGCTATTATTCCCAAGGCAAGTTTGAAGTATTGGTAACATTTTCACTGGATGAATAGTGCACTGTTTGTAAAATTCCGATTCCTACGTTTTATCGTAATGAATTAACAAGGAAGCAACTTGTCCCTCCTTGTCGTCCGCCATTTTGGAATACATTTACCCCGATGTCCTGGGTCAGAGTTTGAACGATAAAACAATAAGCCACCAATGGGAAAGTCTGCTGTGCAGACGTCTCATTAGTGCAAGCTAACGCTATAACCGGCTGGACGGTATGGGTAGGGGGCGGGGAAAGGTGTAATTTATTTCCTTATCTTTGAACTACGACCGCCCCAATTCCTTTCTCTTCTAGGCCTTCTACTATAATTACTCGGGCTTTCCGAAGGAAACGCTCAAGAAGTATATTCGGCTTCTTTTTCTTTATTTTTTTAAATTTTTTAAATTTTTTTTTATTATTATTATTTTTTAATTATTTATTTATTTTATTATTATCATTATTATTATTTTATTTTATTTTATTTTATTTTATTTATTTATTTTTTTTTTGCGTTCAGTTCCACTACAGCGCATGCGTGAAAAGTAAGCGCCTGCGTAGAATGAACCCTGGAGGGTAGAGCGCATGGTTTAGAGCAATGGCTGCCTTCGTGGGCAATTCCCTGCCTGATGTACGCGAAAGAAATTTGACGGCTATTACGCTCAATATACGTACAAAGTCACAGACCGTTCGGGGTAGATCAACACTAAAAACTTGTGGAGCGTTTTGGGAACGGGTCGGTCCGCGAACTTTACGAGAGATCAATTTACGAGCGATCCTTTACGAGTGAACCTTATATAGAGAAATATCAAGCAAAACCTGCCATATCAAACGAGCTATCTCATATTATGTTTACATG